GATACCAACGTGGGCACCGTCCTGGGTGTGCAAACCACCAACCCCACCTCCCACTCTTGGGTATGGGCATGACCTTTTGAGCATGGTTAAGGAGAAAACCTAGAATCCTAAGGCACTGATTCGGAATCTTGCAAAGATTTGTGTCTTTGGAGAAAAAAGGAGTTCTGGTGGCCCAGTTCTTCCCTCCATGGCCTTGTGTTGTGTAGGTGTGTGCCTGTGTGTGTATGTGTGAGTGTCCATTTGTGCATGTATGTGTAGGAGTGTGGGTGCACACATAAATGTGTGCCGATGTCAGTGTGTGCATACATCCCTGACGATCGTGAACACATGTTCCTTGAAGCCATTTAAAATGTATTCAGGAATTCGGAAAGGCACAAAAACAAAGCTGATTCCATTGACCTGGTTCCTGCTTCTGGAAGCATCTATTGTCAATGAGGCTGACAGAGGGTTTTCCCACGCCTGGATGCCAAGGATACCTCTTGGCATTCAACTAATGCGAGTAGAAGTTGTATTTTAATTTGAAGGAGGGCAGGGGCTGTGTTCTTGACCTTCCTCTTTCTGCCGGGAGTTATTTTTGATGTCAAGCATTCACGGTATGCAAACAGAGCTGATAATAACCCACCAGATGCTCCTCTGGGCCTGAGGGTGCCTGTGTCCAGCGTGGTGGGCAGTGAGTGTGGCTTTCCCACCAGCCCGGCCTTACCCCAGCAGTGTGAGGTGGGGCAGGGGAACAGCGTCCCTCAGAGCAAGGAACTAATGCTGTTTAAACATTCACACAGTGCTGCTCCACAGGGAACCCGGTGGATCTCGGTTCATCTTTTAAGACAAAAACATCCGAATTCACTGTTTTGTGTTTGGCATGAGAAGAGCCTTGACTGACTGCCTGGAGCTTTGCCCTGGATTCTTTTAAGTTTCTGGAAAGTACCCCATCATATACGCGGGAACGGAGGGGCTCCTTAGGACATCGGAGAGGGTGTCTGATGTCTGGTACAGCGTGAACCCTGATCAAGCTGGGGAATGTGGAGGATGAGCAGAAGGTGTCAGATGGGACAGGCCCAGGGATGAAGTGATACTGACAGCACTGAGTGACAGATCTCTCACTCTGATCACGCCCTGGGTCCTATTAGTGGGATAAGTCACTTAGAGGGAAGGGTCACTTATGGGGGGGACATTATGCAAAAGATGCATCTTTAGGGGGCTGGAGCAATAGTACAGTGGGCAGGGCATTTGCTTTGCACGCGGCCGACCTGGGTTCGATTCCAAGCATCCATATGGTCCCCCGAGCACCTCCAGGAGTAATTTCTGAGTGCAAATCCAGGAGGTAACCCCTGTGCATTGCTGGATATGACCACCCCCCTGAAAAAAAAGGTATATCTTTAGCAAACCAGCTACCTTCCAGAGCAATTATTTTTTAACACAGACTCATCTTGTTCGGGGTTCCTTCACAAACTACCTCCCTGACTGCCAGGAAGGGTGTTATTTACTCATGACGAACAATCCGCCTTGGCAGAGGGACAGGGAAAGTTATGCCATCCAAAGCCCAAAGAAGAGAGAGCCACGGCAACAGCCCATAGAAGGCAAGGTGTTAGGGTAGAGGCCGGTCAGCCCCTAAGGTCCCCAGTGGGAAAGCTTGACCAAGACACCCTGCATCCAGGAGCACAGCGGCCAGATGCAAACAGGAAACAGCATTTTCAGTTCAAGCAAAGGAGGGCCCATGAAGGGTCGCTGAGGAGACAGAGATCTCGGCTTTGGAGTCCAAGTCCAGGTGGGAACCATGGCCATGGGGTCTGCATGGTCTGGAGATCCACTAGAGGAACTTACGGACCTTTCTCTCTCTCTCTCTCTCTCTCTCTCTCTCTCTCTCACACACACACACACACACACTACACACACTCACACACACACATGTACTCACACACATGCACTCACGTACACACACTCACACACACATGCACGGAAACACACATGCAGTCACACACACACACTCACACTCACACACGAACGCACACACACTCACGCACTCACACTCACACACATGCACGCACACACACGCAGTCACACACTCACATTCACTCCCACACACAAATGCACACACGCACTCACACACTCTCACACACATTCACTCTCACACATACACATAAACCCATTCATTCACATACTCACACACATACACACTTGCATATTCACTCTCACACACATACAAGCACGCACACACTCCCACACATCTGTATGTGTGCTTAAAAAAAAAATCACCCTTTCTCAGCTAGTTATATTGTTTCCACAAAATGAGGGGTTGGGTAGGAAATCGGACTGTAGAGAGGGCTCTTATCTTGCCCGCTGACCCAGGTTCAATCCCCGGTGCCCCTTAGGGTCCCCTGAGCACTGCCGGGAGTGACCCCTGAGTTCAGAGCCAAGAGTAAGCTCTGATCACACATGGGTGTCGCCCTCCACCGTCCCCCCCAAAAAAAACAACCCCAGAGGCATGATGCAATATTTGAAGAGCCCCATCCCTGGGCTGAGGAGGCCTAAGAGAGGGTTCCCCGCTGACTCACACATGCTCTGCTAAGACATGGCTGGGCTTGGGGGTGAAGCACAGGCCCATCCTCTGTGATGAGGTCCTGTGCTCAGGTGTCAACTCCATGCCTGGGCCTTCCCACCGACTGGCCACCACCTGGACCAGCCTCTGGTAACTACAACCTCAAGAAAAGTCACTACCAGGGTGGAGAGACAGGCCAGCAGGGAAGGCGCTGGCCTTGCACCCAGCCAGCCCTGGTTCCATCCCTGGCACTGCACAGGGTCCCCTGAGCCCCACGGGGAGCCATCCCTGAGCACTGCCAGGTACGACCCAGACATTTGAAAAGGAAAGTGAAAGAAAGTCACCACTGCATTTGGGAGGGGGAAGGAGGTGCCAGGAGGATCCAACCAGCTGTCCTCCCAATGCCCCCCACACCACAACATGGGGGTCTCAGGGCCACACACGTGGCGCGGAGGCCCAGACCTCAGTGAGCTCACTGTCAGCTGTCCCATAAGATGCTCATTCTAACAAACAAGTCTGGGTTCTGCTTTGCTATGGGCTGGGAAGCGAAGCTATTGTTTTCTCTAACACGATGCTACAGAAGGACATTCATTATCTCTTAATATTTTTGAAAACTTGTTCTCGGCCCACTTCTTGAAAATGGGGAGGGGTGAATCTATGAAAAGACAACACCACGGAAGTTGTGAGCCTATTAGCATATTTCCCTGATGCTCCATGAAGGGCCAAGCAGGGAAATCGCAGGATGGACGCTGGGGACAGGGGTGATGGTGCCGGGGCACACATGGGTCTTCTCTACCCTGGTCCCACAGCATGACTTTCTGACACATGAAGCAGATGTGGGGTGTGCTCGCCCGAATTTGTCTTTCACCCCGAGAGGGTCCCTGCGAGGGCTGGCCAGGAGAGGGTCCCTGCTTCGGCTCCTCGGATGAGCTCCTGAGCACCGGGGAACTGGCCGGGGACAGGCTTTGACCTTAGACTGCAGTTGGCCAGACCCAGGGCCTCATGCCCGAGCGTGTCCCCTATGTGATCCTCCTGTTTGCATCACCTGTATGCAAGGTCACTTGTGAGCGTCACCTTTGCATGTCATCCGCGTGTGCTCCAGCTGGACGCCAGCTAGTGGCTCATGTGTGCCTCACCTGTGTTGCTCACGTGTCCACACCATGTGTCACCTGCGTGTGTCTCCGAGTGGCTGTGGAAACTGGGTGACACGGGTCCCCATCTGCCATCTGTGGCCCCTTTCCCCACTGCCTGGCACCGGTCACGCCACTCTCGCCCCTCCCTGCCAAACATAATCCACGCCAACTGTGTCTGCCGTGGTTTTAGCTCTGGGGACCGGCCAGCATCAGCCGCTAGGGTGAAAAAGAACATTGGCTCCGGGCCTGAGTGTCCCTGGAGCTTGTCCTGGACTGAGCAAAGAGACATTTCAGCTCCTGACGTCTCCATGGACCAAAGGCAGAAGAGAACACTGTGGACGTGAGACTGTAGACCTCAGTCTCCTGCTGTCCTGGCACATGGGGGTGGTACCCATGTGCCCAGACCAAGCTGGAAAAGCAACCAGCAGGGCGAGGCCTCCCCAGCTTCAAACACCAAAGTGGCTGCAGTGTAGGAGTCCTTCCATCACCCCCACAGCCCTGAGTACTGAGCACTGAGCACCACCGGGAGTGAACCCCAAACCACAGACTGCCTAGCGTGAGCTGGCCCACGAGCCCCCTCTCTGAGCACAGCCACTTCCTTGGCTACAAAGCCCTCATGGCAGTACCTACCTGGCATGGCGGGACGGGGAGGGGGTCGAGCCCGTGGGAAGGGAGTTCCTTTCCTAGTTCTGGGGTCTCCAGACCCTTGCCCAAGGCGGGGCTGTTCCTAAGTTTGCTCAGAAATGCTTGGTGCCAGGTGGGAGAAACTGGGCGTTTCAGGGACACGGAAGGAGGCTCGATTCCAGAGGAGCCCCACGGCTCTCGCTGCAGCTACAGCTCCCAGACTTGGGGACCAGCCTGTCCCCTCGTGCCGCGGGGCCCTGCCCCATCTCAGGCTTTGGGAACAGAGATGCTGGATCCTGGGACCCGGGACGAGGGACAGGCGACTGAGCTGGCCAGGGTGGGGTGCTGTGAGGCTGCTGAAGTCTGAGGTGGAGAGGGAGCAGCTGTCCCCTTCCACAGTCCTTTGCAAAGCAAAGCTGGCCCAGCCCTTCCCCACCCCGAGCCCTTCCCACCCCCCCTGCCCAGCTGCCCTCCATCCAGCTGACCCCCCTCCTGACATCTAACAGACGATGAAGGCGGGGAGGGCTGAGACACGGGAGCAGAGGGGCACAGAGGCATGCTGCGAGGGACCCCACCCGGAGGGAGGCGGGTGCAGGCGGGGTGCAGGGGCGGGAGCAGGGGTGGGGGGATGCGGACTCACATGGCAGGGAGGTGATGGGACTCGGATTTATGGCACAAAACAAAAAGAGCCACAACAGCGGGCTTACTTGCGGAAGTGTACACAAGAGAACTGGGGGCAGTATACATGGAAGTCCCCTCCTGGTTGGCCTGGCACAACAGCACCGTGC